CAGTGTCAGTCTCACTCACAAATTTTTTACTTTCATTAACGACCACTTTTTATAGGAAACCTATGTCACATACGAGGTAATTTTACCAGACAGTATCATCTACAACACGAATAAAGATAAAGGAAACGCTCGTGTTCTCCAGAATTGAGTTTCGATTCGCCGGCCGAGGGAGAGGTTGTGGCACCGCCTAGTGAGACTCCATGTCTGACACTACTGCTCCAGCCTGCACCACACCTCTCACTGCACCCTCACCACACCTCTCACTGCGCCCTCACCACACCTCTCACTGCACCCTCACCACACCTCTCACTGCGCCCTCACCACACCTCTCACTGCTCCACACCTCTCACTGTACCCTCACCACACCTCTCACTGTACCCTCACCACACCTCTTACTGTACCCTCACCACACCTCTCACTGCGCCCTCACCACACCTCTCACTGCACCCTCACCACACCTCTCACTGTACCCTCACCACACCTCTCACTGCACCGTAACCGATTCCATCACCACTGCCACCCTCAACACATAACTTTTACGTTAATTATAACTAACTGGCACTTCTCTTTTGTGCATTTTGCCATTTATGGTCATCTAATTTCCGTTTCCTGAAGAATTAAAATAGTCAACAGTTTACAAATTATCTGGCGCACTTTAATTGGTACGACTTGAATAAATATAGTTCAAGTTTTAACAAAATTGGACACTCGGAAGTGAAAATAAGCAAAACGTAAACGAAGGTTTAGAAAGACATGTCGATCTAAGTGATTTTTTATTCTGAAACTAAATCATATTATGTTCTTGAATAACTTATTTGTAATGTATAAATTTAAATTTAGAACATTTTGTAGTAAATATCAAATTCCGAGATCACTGTGTATATATCTGATTCTCAACAAATCATTTGAATGTGGTTGATTTGAACATGTCAGTGCAAATCATGAACTTTATTAGTTTGTGTTTTGTTTTACACACGTCAAGTAGGATTACGGTTATCGAGTTCCTATAAAGAAGATTAAAAAAAACACTAGTTTAGCCTCAGAGATGTTAGGTGCTCACCATTTTATCGGGTTTTTGCTAGGAATTACTTCAGAAATTGATATCATTTTTGCGTAATTCGTTCAGAAAATTCAATTTTAAAAAATGTAATGAAGAAGATTAATTTGCCATGCGCGCTGAATTGAATGTATTTTAGGACGACCTACTAAAGGGGATAATTCGATAATATCAACAATAAATTCTATTGTAGAGCAACGCAAATCCCGTTATCCCTTAATCAATGTTGTTGCCAGCGGCCACCTTGAAAAAAATCCACATTTTCATAAATATTAATTTTCGTATTTTGCAAATGTATTCATTGCATTGTGATAGAAAAATATAGTTTATAAGAATTATGAGCTTTTCAATATGTCCAATTGGCCTCGTGTAGCCTACGCATTTTAGCGGGACATATGATGACGTCAGCATGACGCCTATACAAATACTTCTTCATTGACAGCACACAAATGAATACAGTAAAAAAATTTAACTCAGTACTCACTGCAGTGAGTGACAGAGAGCGCATTTTTTCGTCGATGAAAACTTGAGGTCACGGATAGACGGACAGACGGACAGACAGACAGACATGGCTAGCACAATAGTGCATTTTTCCATAAATGAGAAAATGCGCTAATAATTATTCAGAAATTACTCTCTGGCACTAATGAGGTTCATTGATCAACCTGTCCTATCTGTTGCGAATTGATGGAAGTAAAGTCGCTTTAGGGAAGTTGTACTGCAAGAAGTTCAAGAATATTTTCCCAAAATTTTCAATAATTTCGATATATATCATAATATATGATACGGCCAAGTGGTACAGTATCTCAGATAAAATGGCAATGCTTGGTATTGTATTATATCGCGTGCTGTTTTCTAACGAGAAAATTGGCCCTAAAAATCCCATCTGTTCTTCTCTGAATGAACAAACACGCCGAGAATATTGCCTTGAAGCAGGAAAATTTAATTCACCATCACCGACTCTAATCCTCATAAGAATATTTTTAGTTGAGTTTACGCAGCAACCGCAGTAACCGTAAATTTTCTTTAAGAACCAACAGCGCGCGCACCGGCAGCAGCTAGCATGCAGAGGAACGTCGCTCAAGAAAAACATTATAACAGAACAACAAAACGCCTGCTTCTCCAAATCCTACAAACGAATAGATTGTATTCTTTTCCCTTTTTCAGAACATATCTCTCACACTCCCTCCCACGCTTCTCCACTCTCGACTCTTTATCGCTATCAACAGGAACTCTCTAGCCTCAGAGCCCCACTACGCGCCCACTTATTTGCTCCCACCCCCACCACAACACTTATACAACCCTCCCCCAGCCTGCTCTCTCTCCTCCCTCTCTCTTTCTCTCTCTCATCCTTTCTCTTGTTCTCTCTATCTCTACTCTCTTACACTCTTGCCCTCTCTCTCTCTCTCTCTCTCGCTCTTACCCTCCATCTCTTATCCTCTCTCCCATACCTTCTGTCTCTCTCTGACCCTCTCTCTTACCTCTTTCTATTAACCCTATCTCTCTTATCCTATCTCTCTTACGCTCTTTCTCTCCCACCCTCTTTCTCACCCTCTTTCTCTCTCACCCTCTCTTTCTCTCACCATCTCTTTCTAACCCTCTCCCTCACCCTCTTTCTCTCTCACCCTCTCTTACACCCTCTCTCTCTCTAACCTTCTCTCTCTCACCCTCGCTCTCTCTCTCATCCTCACCCTCATATTTTTTAACGAATTTAGATGTGTTAGCTTATCTAATTTTTTAACGAATTTAGATGTGTTAGCATCATCTAATTCGTTTAGATGTGTGTGTGTTTTTAACGAATTCGATGATGTGTAAATATTTTATCATTGTACATTAATATACACAATTATACTAAAATTTCAAAGCTTTCTTCTGGCAAAATCAATACATTTACATAATACTTGAAAAGTATCGGAACTGAGACTGATATTGAAGCGCAACTACTGAACTTTCAGTAATTAGACTTTATGTGGCGCTGTCTCAGTATTATTTTTAACATTGTTTTCATCGGAGTTGGTGGCAGCCGAATGGTGTGGCTTGATTGTGGCAAAAAATTGTGGCGTGTTCGGCATGCTCAAGCTAGACATCCTATATATAAAATATATCGTCAATATAAGTTGGAGTGTTAGAGGACTAGCACACGTTAGACCTCTTATATATAATATATATCACTAATATAAGTTAGAGTGTTAGAGGTCTAGCACACGTTAGACCTCTTGTATATAATATATATCACTAATATAATTTAGCATGATAGAGGTCTAGCACTCGCTAGACCTCTTGTATATAATATATATCACTAATATAATTTAGCATGATAGAGGTCTAGCACACGCTAGACCTCTCATATATAATATATATCACTAACATAATTTAGCATGATAGAGGTCTAGCACTCGCTAGACCTCTTATATATAATATATATCACTAATATAATTTAGCGTACACGCTAGACCACTTATTTATATTATATATCACTAATATAAGTTAGCGCGATAGAGGTCTAGCACACGCTAGACCTCTATCACTCCATCATCCGGTAATAGCCAAGCCTGAGCAGCAAGTTATCCAAAGCACCTGCGCTCACGCTGGTTCTCAGCACCGGTTTAGAACCAGCGTGTCCGTCATCTTAATATATATTTTTTAACCTCTTTAATAATCAGCAACAGAAAGGTTTAATAACCTAGAAAGCAACTTTTTTCAAATACTGATGAGAGTTGCCTACAATTTATCGTGTGTTCGTAAACTGGTTGCAGAAATGACCCTATAATTTTCCATTGATTTGGCCAAATTTTTACAATGTGAAAACGATATATGCATTGTGCCATGAACAGAAGCATGTTTACTTTACTCTCTTTCATAGATTGAAAAAGGGTAATAATTTAGGAACAAGCAATCACGTGATACTTTTGAACCAAATTACACTTTCAGCCTAACTTTGCATGATAATTAGCATTCTCTTTATCGTCGAGGGATCATCTTGAATTGTTCCAGAATAAGCATGAAAAATATTTCCTCCTCACTATTAAATTAATTCATATCTAAATATCATACTTTATTTACACCTCCTGTAATTGACGGTTAATATGAGCCTAAATTTTAACTAAGTCGGTAGCCATTGAGACATTGTCGTTCAGTTTTGATCAAGGAAAAAGTCTTGGGAGAGAACTCCCATGATTTAACTATCTCTGGCCTCTTCAGTTTGTCAGTGTTTGATAAGCGTATTTAATAAATCTTGAACTCAATTGTGTTGGGTTGATTTTTCGATTATAATTACTGTTGATTATTTCTTTCAATGTAAAAGTTTTGAAAAGATGAATGCTAGACTTATTTCAGAGCAATTGTCTGTAGCGAAACATGACAAAACATGGCAATTGTTACTTTGAAATAAAGGCTGCACAATTTTAACTGGTTGTTGAATTATAGGCGATAGATTCCCATATCAAAAATAATTTCAGTTCAAAATTTATGGAGAGCATAGTAAATATCAAGATTAATCAGGACTAATCAGGATTAATTAGATTATTGAATATTCAAGCCGGTCATACCTTGCTAAAGTAATTGCAATCTGTTACAAAAATGCGTTAGTACGCACATGTGATAGTTTTAGACGAAGAAGCATAAAAAATCAATACTTGGTGTGAAGTCAGGGTAAATGAAGACCTCAACAGCAATGTATCACTCCCTAGTTTCAAAATCCAAAATTAAACTCACGGAAGCAAGCTCAACCTCTTGTTCATTTATTCGTTTATTTCGGTCTACATTTTGGTCGTGTTTAAGGCACTGGCCATTCTCGTTTTTCGCTTACGCTTCATGGACGGCGCTTTGACAATTGCTTTTTGAACCTGTTTTAACATACCTTCTGCATTTCTTAATGCACAATATTAAATAAAAAAGATTGACAATTTTCAAGAATTTAAGGCCTTAAAAACACTATGCTTACCTGTTTTACTTCAAATAACACGAGTGGAAATAGCGAAGTCGATAGTCCCTCTAGTGTGGAACGCTGTGAAGGCTGTGATTGTTTTCGTCCAGATTCGTGGCAATGTCAAGGTCAGGGATCTCAAGTGCACCAAGCAATATCTTGAGAACCTGCACTGCCCTGCCTTTTGTCTCGAAATATTGCCTTAGGGAACTTCGGCGAGATTTTACGCCCAAACTTTTGGCTGCGCGAGCGAACTTACGCCCAGTGAATAGCGACGCTTAAGTCGGAGAACCTAGGGCTTTCATCATCCTTTTTTACCATATAACAAACGATAATTATTTGTCCGTTATTGACAGGAATTTAGTTTTTGTACCGATGCTAAGGTACGCTTTCTAACGACAGTTATTTAAATAGAAGGTGAGCTTACTACTTTGCTTTTGGGTAACATCGAGAGACTTTAAACTTTCGGTAACGGCAACAACATACACTCGCTGACATCTCCTTTTCAGCACGTTAAGGTAAGAGGCTTCTTGACCAAGGCACGTAGCAACAAAACTTTGCGTATTTATAAGGCTTCTTTCTGTCTTTAACAACCATCACAGTCTACATTCGATCATAACAAGGTAAAATTTTTGTAGAGTCAGAATGATCTGTCGGGTGCGAACACAATTTTTATTTTAAGTGAGAACGTGAGATTAATGGTCTCTTATGATTATCGCTATTCTCTATAAATGTGTGATTTATTCATACGCATATTTTGAGCAAACCTCAACCACGGTAAGCTAAATTAGATGTAGGATAGACTATCCAAGGTTCACACACTCCACAGATAAGAATGACGGCGTGCTTCAAACAATCCAGTGGCTGAAAGGTCGTCACGGTTGAATAGTTCAAACTCTTCATATGAAATCCCGAGTGACACTGCGTACGTCATTTGGCAATAAGAGAAATCTCCTTCGAGAAGAAACTTTGCACTATAAGGTCCCGAATTTATAAGCTATGAGCTCCGTGTGAACAATAATGGTCTAATAATAGCGTGTCACTCAGTCATCTAATTATGTCCACTTGATCGAAGATACTTGTTGCATCTGTAAATAAACTAAAAATTAATAATCGATTCTACCGATTAGACAAAGCAGGAAAAAAATGATATTTATTTCGTTATGACTAATTGCAAAATTGAAGCTCGGCCATGGTCCAATTTCTTTCACAACTAATGATTATACCTATAAATTCTGACCTAATCCGAAGAGTTCTAAAGTAACCGCTCTTCATAATTATGAAACGCATGCTGGAAGTTAATATTCCGCTTAAAAGTGAACATAATAAATAACAAATAAAATCGAATAAACCATCGTTATTTACTTTTAACACGCATTTTCTACACCACTTAGCCGCTACGTTGTACCGCGCACGTGTTCACGCAACCGACGCTGACCGCCAACAGCTTCAGTTCAGGGGTAACACAAGGAGTCTAAGTGCCAGCATATGGCGAACGATGGCAGTTTCATGATAAAACTTTCATGCCTGTGGTACGATAACTACAGGTATTGTTATGGCGCTGAAAAATTCAGCAAATTCCTTTTTATGCAATATTACCAATGTTATCTATATTTGCATTTTATTGCATTAATGTAATTCTGTGTGAAATGAAATTTCATTCATCCTAACTTAATAGTGATCATAAATATTTCAATGTAAGGTTAATATTATTAACGAATCCCGAATTAAATAAAGTAGTCTATTTCAAAAATTTTCGGCGCAAACGGTGCTGAAATTTTCTAGTCTATGCCCAAAATGGCCGGTCTTGGCACTTGGCAGACTAGCTGCACCTTCAGAGATAAGGAAAAAATGATAATAAAAAAATAAAAATCGAAATCGAGTGCATTTATGTCATCGGACAAAAATTTTGATTCTTTTTATTCCTTTTAATTTCATTCTTTTTTAAAGTTTTAATTTTTCAGAAGGTAGCATATTCCTCGTTCCCTGCAATCCATGTGAGCGTTGGGTAAACACAATGCATTGCCCGCCATTCAGATCATGCACAACGATGGGCGTAGTAGTGATGATGTAATGATGGTGAAACTCGAGCACCTATTGACTGCGTACCCGATGACGTCATTGTTGCCATAGCAACGCAGCAGAAGCATTGATCACGTCATTCACGATAAACAGTGAAGTCACTATTCGAATTATCTAATACGATATAATCTACTGGATGGATGATACAGACTTACGAACATCTCCTTTAAAGAGATTATTTGTTTAATCGGTAAAAAGTATTTAAATGCAGCTACTTTTCAACAAAAATGACCAGTTCTGAGTATGGTATGGTTGGGTCAATGGAGAGACATAACCGCTCGCCATGCACCGGTAACGTTCATTCACAGCTTTAGGAGGCTTCTGCGAGCATGGGGGGTAATCCCTTGCTCAGCGGCGCATCCAAACACTTCATTGATTTTTTCCTCAGCGATAGAGTTTCTGGACTTCCAGTAATTTTTCTGGACAGAGTTTCTGGACTTCCAGTAATTTTTCTGGACAGAGTTTCTGGACTTCCAGTAATTTTTCTGGACAGAGTTTCTGGACTTCCAGTAATTTTTCTGGACAGAGTTTCTGGACTTCCAGTAATTTTTCTGGATAGAGTTTTTGGACTTCCCAGCAATTTTTATGGTACGGAAAATTGCTAGTATATTCATGTCGCCAAAATTGTCCAAGAAATTGTATTGAACTGATCACTTATTAATTATTAGTTAAGAATTTTTGTTACAATGATTCGTAGCCTGAAGTATCGTTTAAAAACAATGTTCACTGCTGAATAAAGTGAAGGTTTGTAACTCAAAAATTGAGATTTTGAAACGAATGAATTACACATTTTAGTATTTATTATACGCACAATTAAAACTTTCAATTAATTTTTAAATAAAAATCCATATTAGTCTAAAAGCTTATAATTTGGCAGCCGGAGACTCATTTTGTACTTTTGTACTTAAAAAATTGCATTCAACAATCTTAATTTTAGACGTAGCAAGCCTATTATTTTACTTAATATCGAATAATGTTAAAAGAAGGAAGAAAATAATCAATATGAATAACTCCCTAGCCAACAGGGATCTACCATTAACAAATTTAAGCGACAACGTGCGTTAATTGCAAGAAATTTCGTCAAAAATCAATGTTATTTATCTTGCGTTTCCTTGGGGAATCGTCTAGACGCCACTACATCACGGCCTCGTTGTAGAAACTGTCCAACATGGCGCTTTGTAAACGAGTTTCCCATGGGAGTTACGCCATTGATATTCTGTGGCAAGAGAAACGACCTCGATATCATCCACGCCTGCTCGGCTGCCACGAGGAATTCGCTCAACGGCCTGGTCCTAAATATCTTTGGGTTGCGATGAAATTTGTCTTTTTTTTACTTTAAAGCTCTTGGGTTTTTGGCTTTAAACTTTCGTTTTTTGCCCTATTACACACCAGGATTTCTTTTGTGCGAAAATGTAAGAAAGATTTAAAGAAATTTTGGACTAAGTTATCATTTATTACCTATATTATGTTTCAATTTTACAAAATAAACGCTTTTCTGTAATTCGTAGCCAGGTATGAAAAACCTCATTCAATGTACACCCAAGGTAAAATCAAGTGGTAGGGAGAAAAGAAAGTGAGAGATGGAGTTGCAATTAAGTAGGAAAATGTGTCCTGTTATCATTTGTATTCAGTAAAACAAACTCGCCTAGCCAAGCAAGTTAAGCTAGACACAATTTATCTCGTTTTACATCGCGTCTGCTTGAGCAACAAATAAGGAATCAAGGTCGCATTTCTATTGCTCCTCTGGCCTTGAGGGGGTGCAGCAGGCACTGTGCCAGCTTAGCATGGACCGTCGCTGCTCTTTTTGGGCTTCTTAACAGCGGTTTATACACTGTTAGAAAAAACGGTGAATAAACGGTTCCACTGGCGTTCTAGTGGCCGGTCGCCCCATGAAAATAAACTGTTTCGCCATTTTTATCAGATGTTTTACGGATTTCTAGTGTTAAATTAGAATAAAAACGGCGACAAGGTGTTTCTTTTCACGTGCCGACCGGCCACTGAAACGCCAGTAATACCGTTAACGGTAATTTTTCTAACAGTGTACGGTATGGTAATGGTATATAGTCTTCTGTGTAAATAATTATGGTAAGTGCTACGATTTTTTCAATAACTCATGAGACGTAGTTATGAGTACACGTGTATGTGCATTGCATACTTGTCCCTGTTTTGTTAATAGTTACGAATTTTTTACGACGAATTCGTACGATTTAAATATGAGTTACTATGCAACAAACCCCAGTTTTTTCATTTTGCGTTTTCATAAATTTATTTTAAAATGCCTAATAAATTAGTGATAGGACGCTGAGCCAACGCACTTTCAAAGAGTTGGTAACATATACACTTGTGGCAAAGTACACTGTTAGGAAAAACGGTGGAAAAACGGTCCTACCGGCATCCTAGTGGCCGGTCGCCCCGTGAAAATAAACGGTTTCGCCGTTTTTATCAGATGTTATACTGATTTCTGGTGTTAACTTGGAATAAAAACGGTGAAACGGTGTTTATTTTCACGTGCCGACCGGCCACTGAAACTCCGGTAATACCGTTAACGGTAATTTTTCTAACAGTGTATATCTTGCTATTAGCACGTCTCAACATCTCAGTAATGAGTTCTCTTGAGTTATAATTAACTAACGTCAATGCAGCACAAGTCGCCAATTTATTCACAATTTATTCTATAAGTATAGACGCAGCACAACTTCGATTGCTAGAGCAATCAAAAAAGCTTCGGATACTTTACCCATCAAAATCATACATGTTTCTGAGCAATATTTTACAAATATTTTAGCGACGTCTTGCAAGCTAAGCATAAAATTTATTTAATGGCTGCTCATGTGTCATTGACGGTAGCGTATTACTGATTACTTGCTTATGAACGTTATATCTCAATTTCGGAATGTTCAATCGATATTAATTAATTCATTAATAAACTTCTCTACGAATAAATTTGTGACACATGAACCAGTCCCGGTAAGAAACATTATGTTGGTGTGTTGAAACAAGATATTTTAAGGATAAATACATATGCATTTAAATGTATTTATTTATTATATGTATTTGAATTTAGATTTATGAAATAAATGAGTCAGCAATGAAAATTATCTTCTTAAGTAGTTTTGATAATATTAATTTTCAAAAATTCGGCAAATAATTGCGAGCTTACAGAGAGCAAACTAAATTTTATAACATTTTTTTAACAGTTTCAGCATCAAATTTTCGTTGTAGTACAGTGTCCCACACTGGCAAGGTAGAAATCATCATAACTCAGTGGATGTAGTTATGTCTCAGTCCTAACAATTCAGTAAATTCACAACTACCAGTCATACGCCTCAGTAGAGTCATAACTACTAGTCATACGACTCAGTAGAGTCATAACCACTATTCATACGACTCAGTAGAGTCATAACTACTAGTCATACGACTCAGTAGAGTCATAACCACTAGTCATACGACTCAGTAGTCATAACCACTAGTCATACGACTCAGTAGAGTCATAACCACTAGTCATACGACTCAGTAGAGTCATAACTACTAGTCATACGACTCAGTAGAGCCGTAACTACAAGTCATATGACTCAGTAGTCATAACTACTAGTCATACAACTCAGTAGAATCATAACCACTAGTCATACGCCTCAGAAGAGTCATAACTACTAGTCATATGACTCAGAAGAGTCATAACTACTAGTCATACGACTCAGTAGAGTCGTAACTACAAGTCATATGACTCAGTAGTCATAACTACTAGTCATACAACTCAGTAGAATCATAACTACTAGTCATACGAGTCAGTAGAGTCATAACTACTAGTCATACGACGCAGTAGTCATAACTACTAGTCATACGACTAAGTAGGTCATAACTACTAGTCATGCGACTAAGTAGGTCATAACTTCTAGTCATACGACGCATTAGAGTCGTAACTACTAGTCATATGACTCAGGAGAGTCATAACTACTAGTCATATGACTCAGTAGAGTAATAACTACTAGTCATATGACTCAGTAGAGTCATAACTACTAGTCATACGAGTCAGTACAGTCATAACTACTAGGCATACGACGCAGTAGTCATAACCACTAGTCATACGACTCAGTAGAGTCATAACTACTAGGCATACGACGCAGTAGAGTCATAACTACTAGGCATACGACGCAGTAGAGTCATAACTACCAGTCATACGACGCTGTAGTAATAACTACTAGTCATTTGACTCAGTAGAGTCACAACACAACTGATCAGTAGAGGTCGTCGAGATCGAACTCTGGGTAGTCTTCGTCCTCCAGGAGGCCGTTGACGGGCGGCCCAGCCTTGATGACCAGGTCGTCCAGGGACGCAGGGTCGCGGTACTCGAACAGACCCACAGAGTCGCGGCTCACTGCCACCGTGAACTTCTCCGTCTGTAATTAAAAGCTCGGCTTATGTCTGTTGGCGTTTGGAATATAGTGTAATCAAGAGCTTGGCTTAGGTCTGGAGGCGTTTGAAATATAGTGTAATCAAAAGCTTGGCTTAGGTCTGGAGGCGTTTGAAATGAAGTGTAATCAAGAGCTTGGCTTAGGTCTGGAGGCGTTTGAAATATAGTGTAATCAAGAGCTTGGCTTAGGTCTGGAGGCGTTTGAAATGAAGTGTAATCAAGAGCTCGGCTTAGGTCTGGAGGCGCTTAAAATAGAGTGCAATAGAGTGTAAGCGTTTCAATTAGAGTTTAGTCAAGAACTCAGCTTAGGTCTGGAGGCGTTTAAAATAGAGTGCAATCTTAATAAGTAAGTATAGAGTGCAAGTAAATTTAGAATAGAGTGCAAATAAATCTTAATAAAAGAAAACAAATTTAATAATGAGACCATTTTTGACACGAAATAAACAGTAAAACTTTTTACTTTTAATTGAATTTCAGTTTTGACCATCGATTAAAAAGGTTGGGAAATACATTTAAATATTACGAATAATTCTGTGATTTCTGCAGTCGGGTAATATTTTTTGCTCAGAATCATGTTTTCAGAAACTCTTCTGAACTAATTTTCAACATAAAAAAATGTCTTCCAACCGTATCTCCGAACAAGACTAGGAATTAAAACGCCAGGTTTATGAGAAGATTCAGTTTTAGCCGCCAATTTTGTTGTGAGTGCAAAAAATCACATTGCATCCATACCACATTGCTGAAATATGGTATAGATTTATTGGAAAAAATTTATAATTCATTGAATAATCCAATTATCCAAATTCATTGAATTTTGCAATTGTCATTGGAAAAAATTGATTCGTGACATATATTTCTAACTGGCCTTAAATTAAAGGCGAAATATAAATGCTCAATTGAACAAATAAGCTTCATATATAAACAAAAAACTCCCTATTTGCAAAGCGACATAGTTAAATAACTGAACTGTAGAGTTAAGGACTGAACATACATGTGGCACACACATATTAAAGAACAGAACTAAAGAGTTAAGGACTGAACATACATGTGGTACACACATATTAAACAACTGAACAAAAGAGTTAAGGACTGAACATATATGTGGTATACACATATTAAACAACTGAACACATATTAAGGACTGAACATACATGTGGTACACACATATTAAACAACTGAACACATATTAAGGACTGAACATACATGTGGTACACAGGTCCTGTGGTAACAGCGATATGTGGTGCCGTCAGGGTCAGTGTGGCAGGGGGCGCCCGGGGGCAGATGTGTAGGGACGGTCGGGTCGTCCTGGAAGAGATAGCGCGGCGTCCACAACTGCGACGTGTTCGAACGCAGCCGACAGTACAACACGCACGCCAACCAAGGCTCAGCTGCAACAATTATTAAACTATGAGCTTTATGGGACAACACGCACGCCAACCACGGCTCAGCTGAAGCAATTATTAAACTATGAGCTTTATGGGACAACACGCACGCCAACCACGGCTCCGCTGCAACAATTATTAAACTATGAGCTTCATGGGACAACACGCACGCCAACCACGGCTCCGCGGCAACAATTATTAAACTATGAGTTTCATGGGAAAAAATCTATTTACTCAGCAGGAGGTTTTTTTATCTTCTGGGGTATAAATGAGCACAACTGACGAAATCGTTGAAAATCTTTGCACGGAGTTATACTCTATTCAAGTAACAAGGAACACAACGTGAATTTTTATAGAACCTTACAAAAAACTCCCGATATATTTTACTCATCATCAGAGCAACTCACTCAGGTCGTTGAATTTGTATAGAACCAAACAACAAACTCGCGATATATTTTACTCATAATCGGAGCATCACACTCATCATTTTACTCACTGGGGTCGTGCTTCTGCTGCTCGCCTTCGCTCATGGCGTCAGGGTAGCGCTCGGCTACGCGCTCACAGAGCTCCGCCAGCGCGGTGCTCATGTTGCGTCGCCTCGTACCGCACACCTGGCATAAAACTTTCGCTGTAGTGTCGGACATTTGCGGAAACTTATTTTCCAGCACTTATTTCCATGGTTCCCCGTGGGAAATAATTGCTAGAAAAAAGGTTTTCACTATAAATGACTGCTACAAAATTGGTTCACAGTGAAAATAATTTAGGGGACCCTACTTCCTAGCAGTTATTTCTACGGGAACCAAGTGGAACCTATTTTATTGGATGGATGGTTATAATATGTCAAATGGTAATGATGTACCCAACGATAATGATATTATAATATTCTCCAATTAATTCACAATGATCGGATCAAAATTGAGTATTAAACTCAAAATTGTATAAAGTTAATCGTATCGCGAGATGGATGGAGTCGTAAATTCATAAAGATAATGATTTTCCTGACGTAAAGACATGTAGAATTACTTGTGAGTCGTCACAGAAGTCGGTCTTGTAAGAGGTGGTGATACACCCACGGTCGCTGTTGAGGGGAGGGGGGGAGTTGCAGGGCTGACGACTCTCCCGCCATCCCGTACCCCCCGCCAGACATGCAGACGTGCAGGGGCCCTCTTCCCAGGGCCCCAGCCCCCCGACCACCACCGACACGTTGTCCCGACCTGACCACGGCACGCACTTTCCGTCCCGACACCACTGCACACGACAGGCGAGTGTAGCGTATGTAAACAACTCATGTATTGGATGAATTTATAATATTAGAATTAAATTTCATGAATTGGAAATCCAGGAATGAATAAAAAATATTGATATTTGAAAATGAACAATTGGGATATTTCAGTTTGTATTGTATAAACAATAGTTTTGCACCAGTCATGAGAGATTTCTGGAACACGAATTCTACATCCGACCAGATTGCAAGTCAAAGTCTTCATTGAATCAAAATTAATTTAATGGTTAACGGCATGAACACAATTTTCAACATGCCATTTATCGCATATTTCTTTCAACAGATGTAGCTCATACTCGCTCAGATAAGTTTAAATGAATTATTAAAGTGATAATAATGTAGCTATTGTGATATTTCGTATGGTTTTGTTTGTCGCGTATAAGTAAGTAGCTAGTTAAAGAATCGCAGTTAATTAAACTTGATGAAAGAAATGCTAACTCATGTTTGCGCCGCCACAGTAGGAGACTTCCAAGGCAGGAAAGTGATAAAAAGTGATAAAATATAGTAACTAATATCACTCGTTTGCTTGAATCGCAAATTCACTAAAAACTTAATAGCAAAGAAAACTCCATAAAAATTCATAGTATCTTTAAAGAAACTATGAACCACCACACTACTTTAAAGATACTATGAATTTTTGTGGAGTTTTCTTTGCTATTAAGTTTTTAATGTAGTAACTTTTGTGATTTTTTACCACGTTTTTCTTGACTTCGTTTCGTGTCCGTCTGTCATCAAAAATTCAAACCTTAATTTATAGCACTTCTAAACATCCTAGTAAGTTGAAATTTGGCATGCATGTTTATGCTGCTAACAATTCAAGATTAGATCATCAGAAATAATAATTAAAAAATTTTTTTTAAATAAAAAAAAAACACTAAAAGTTTACGGTTTGGAGTTGAGTTATTTCTCGAACATCCACACTTGCCAACCCTGAAAATTGATTTGAATTGCTAAAATTGCTAACTAAAAAGTAGAAAGTAAGTAAATATAAAAATATTTTAAAAACCACGTTTTTCTGGTTTTTACAAAACTAAAAATAGTGAAATAAAACAAATAAAAAATACTTTTAAAAACCACGTTTTCTTAACGTACAAAAAAGAAAAAAATTTACTCTTACATAACATTACATAACGTTTTACATAACTTAAATGTTATGTATGAGTAAATGTTTTTCTTTTTTGTCCGTTAAGAAAACGTGGTTTTTTAAAGTTTTTTTATTGTTTTATTTCCTTATTTTTAGTTTTGTAAAAACCAGAAAAACGTGGTTTTTAAAAATATTTTTATATTTATTTATCCTTGTATTTTGTTTGTCGCGTAAAGGTGAGTAACTAGTTAAGGAATCTCAGCTAATTAAACTTGATGAATAAAGTTTCTAGCTCACGTTTGCACCCCCGCAGTAAGTGCCTTCCAGAGCAGGACCAGCGAGGTAGGAGGTGAGACGGTGAGGGCTGCTGCACTGTACGCTGTTGCACAGTTTCTGCGGTGCAACCAACCAATGAAGGTATATATAAGAGTATGCGTTTGAAATTACTTTTTAAAGACAACTCTTCTGAAGAATCCAGTGTCTCCGATGTTACACATGTACAATGAATTTCTAATTTTATTATAAAATATACAAAAAAAAGTAAATTTAAATTTTATTTTTAAAATTTAAAGAAATACTATTTTCAAAATTATTTATTCTATTAATTGATACATGCATTGTCTCCTATTTTACGCAAGTGTGCAAAATTTCAGATCGATTGGAGAGGCAGAAGTGTGCTAAATATCGATTATAATGTTTGTAGCAGACAGACAAACAACAAGAAGTGAAGTTAAAGAGAAGTGTTGTAAAAATAAGCTTCGTACTTTATATTGCTTCCCATGTGTCTTCTCATGTGTGAACTTTCGCTTAAAAATTATCAGGCTCATAACTTGTATTCTAACATATTCTATATGGAGCCTAATGATTTTATCAAATACCAGTAAATTCATGGCAGTGGGCATTTTAGTGTAATTAATTGAGATTGAGAGAACAGATAAATCTTTTACCGATGGTTGGGCTATTATAAAGGCATCATACCTGCAGGTGGAAGACCAAAAAGGTATGATGCCTTTACCAAAAGTCACACCAAAAGGCTGATGAGCCTAAAGAAATGCTTATAGTCTGAACATACTGCCATACCTCAAGATTTAATCGCAAAAAGAGAGTCAATCTAAAAAGTGGAGTTGAAAGTGAGAACAAACACTTAGGATTACAGAGCAAAACGAGTTTAATTCATCAAAATTGAAATAAAATGCAGTGCCAAACCATAAAGAGAGAACAAGAACTTTGGACTATAGTTCAAAACAAGTGGTATACATAAAAATTGAAATAAAATATAGTGCCAAACCATAAGATTTGAGGGCCAAGTGAGGGTAGCATCGCGGTCGCGGAAGAAGAGCTGACACTGCGACACGGCGTTGAAGCGCTGGCCGGGCAAGATGCCTCGAGCCGCGTCGTCCCAAACTGAAGCTTTGGGCGAGTCCCACAGACAGCGGCCGCTGGGCACCCGATGTGAGCATTACATGATGAATGTTTTATGGTTCAGGTAATACATCGTATAATATAATATAATATGATATATTATTTATAAGGACAAGCTTCGCGAAAACTCCTCTCATAATAATGACTTGTCATTCGATAAAAGAAAAATTAATCAGTGCATAACTTTAGAATAAACATTTCTTAATAGAATTTGCCCGCATATATTCTCATGTCCTCACTTTTGAGCGGCAAAAGACTCGCGACTGCATGGACTCCACGTAGTGCCGCCCCTGGGCCCCCTGCCCGCTGCCATGATGAAGTTCTGACTCGTGCAGCTGTTGTTGGACCCGTCGTGGCGCATGCCCAGGCTGAAATTTTGGAATAAGTTAATTTTTTCAGAAGCGTTATGGTTGGTGAAAAGAATTCGTGTTCACTATCATAATTATGAGGTAGTCGAGAGACATGAAAACGTGACTTGGTATAGGAAGATCACACGATCACATGATATGTCGCTGCCTGAGCACTTCTTTGCTCTAACGACCCTAAAAAAAAGAAAATGGTGACGTGAATTATATACATGGACTAAATGCTCTACTGCAGCGCATCTGTAGTGGATAAATGCGTACCTGTGTGTGGATAAATGCGTACCTGTGTGGTGGATAAATGCGTACCTGTGTGGTGGATAAATGCGTACCTGTGTCCAATTTCATGCGTAAGGATGAGGGAGGTGAGTGCCCCGGCTGAAGGGAAGGGTCTGCCGTAAGCGTTGGTGGTTGAGAACTCAGAGATGATGCAGGACCGCGTCACGTCACAGATGCCACCGGTGTAGGTCAGCCCCATGGTCACGTCACTGATGCCGCCCTTCTCGATGTGGGTGATCAGGTCCATGCTATGAAAATATGCATTATTTGATTAACGCCGTAAAGCGACCCGACCGCTATTTCTGCGGCCGGTCGGGCCCGTGAAATAAAACAACGTGTCACTTTTTTTCAATTTAACACAAGAAAACCGTACAGTATTTGTAAATAATGGCAAAATTATTTATTTCCATAGAGCGCCAGTTAGATCATTTTTTTGCTGTTCTTACGAAAAGTGAAAACTTTGATAATCGTGAACGTCGGTGTGGTAATCAGTAACGAACACTTTCACCGTGCTGGCTGCAGGGAAACTGGCAGCAAGGACATCACGTCTTGAGAAACTAAATATGTCGCAAACTTTATTACAGGATTTATTCTATATAAATCTTAAAAAATTTAAGTCACTTTTTGTGTGCCCAAATTTCCATGAATAATTTTGAGATACCGCTACAGTAGAAAATTCGTGGTCGGGTTGAAATTGAAGTCTCAAGAAACTACGCTGTACAGTATATCTCGAAAATATCGCAGCATTGATAATTAATCCAATTTATCCAGAGTATCATTCCTTGAAAGATGAATGCCAGAGTAACATTCCAGTTCAGACGGAGCTCACCCGAGGATGAGGTCCCAGACTCACCGTATAGGTAGACTGCGAAGTCCCAGACTCACCTTGATAGGTTGACTGCGAGGTCCCAGACTCACCCTGATAGATAGACTGCGAGGTCCCAGACTCACCCTGATAGGTAGACTGCGAGGTCCCAGACTCACCGTATAGGTAGACTGCGAGGTCCCAGACTCACCGTATAGGTAGACTGCGAGGTCCCAGACTCACCGTATAGGTAGACTGCGAGGTCCCAGACTCACCTACCCTGATAGGTAGACTGCGAGGTCCCAGACTCACACTGATAGATAGACTGCGAGGTCCCAGACTCACCCTGATAGGTAGACTGCGAGGTCCCAGTTCATCGGACTGTTATCACTGGTGTGCGCTCGAGCTTTTTGATACCTGTAATCATGAGTAGACATCTCATTAAAAGGAGTGAAGTTAATTGCACTGAATGATTAGCACTCATTTAAAAGGACAGGTTTTCCGGTGCTAAATTATAAAATATTTTAGAATACGATAGACGTCGACGAACGATTTGATTGTTATGACAGCAAGCGGACGCCTGCCACTCAAGGACGTGAAAAAACACAAAAAATTAGACCGTTGTACAGTAGCTAGCTTTTAGTCTCTGGAGCTCTGTACTGCACCTACGGGTAAGCCGGTCTTTGAACCTTTTCTATCTAAAAGTAGCCTGTCATTTATAGTATCTTCAACTGTGAGTAATCATTGGAGTTTACTCTCTAGCTATTAATAATCACCGTTGGAATTTACTCTCTAGCTATGAATAATCACATCTTTGTACTTTATCTAGCTTTAATTAACAAGATCTTGTACTATCCCCAGCTGTGAGTAGCCAGTCTTTTTTTCTGTGTCAGTAAAAAATTTATAGTATTTATCACTCACGCGCAGAAAGACTCGAGGAGTTTAAGTCTGTCCCCGCCGTGGGTCGGCAGGTCGATGGGCTGGGTCCTGAGGAGGTAGAGCTGCGTGATGGACACGTCCAGCGGCCGACCCAGGCTCTGCTGGTGGAAGAACGCCTGCGCCTGCAACGTACATGAAATTTCACTTAATGAAGCAAACAATTAATGCTTTCAAGCTGAATTGTTAGAGATTTTTTTTTCTTCGGAGGAGAATTGGATTTTTGCTACGGAGAATCGGATTGGAAATATCTGATTTTTTCTTCGTAAATAATTAGAGCGAGTTTCAGAAATTGTTTATTTGCCCCAAACGCTCACGGGTGCAATGAAAGTCCCCAGATTGCAAACAAATGAAAACTATTTATTTATGTTTACGCGTCTAGCCATTTAAGTTATGAATGCAGAGTTGAGTAAAATAATGAGGCATTCCCGAATACTTCTTAACCTCGAAAAGTAATTGAAAACTTGCATTTTGAAAAACATTTTAAGATGCGCGTTAAGTAGCTCTGACACTTAAAATTGTGCAGCAATTAGCTCGGAAAAGGTATAAATATAATTTGTCTACTGCGTATTTTCAACTTTCCTCGGAATCTTTTTCCTTCGTTCAACTCAGATACACTAACAAATAACAACTGAATGCAATCAATGAACTTTTCTACATTCATTCGTAAACATCTACACATTATATTGCATTTAACAAGCAATTTAATATTATGAAGAGGCGAACACATTAGAATTTATTCTATACTATATCAAGTCGATCAAAGTCATTTAAATGCTAGGCATCAGTTTCATTGGTTCCTCAAGCAACATTGGAAAACATTGTTCATGACTCTCACGTTGTTCATAAGACTGAGTATGAGGTCGACAAGTTGGTCTTCAGTGTAGAAAGAGAAAAGGTTCTCGAGCAACACAGAGTCCAGGAAGAGGGCTAACTCAAGTGTTAGCTTCCGCGAATGATATGGCGAAAAGAATCGCTTGTTTTTTCGCGACTTATCACCAGTTGACGTTGTGTTGACGTTTACATCCTCGGCGTCAATTGTGTTTAGTATACGATTAGTTCTTGACTGTGGAGATGAAGATCTTTTTCTTCGTAACACTCTTGTTTTCGACCGTTTGCTCTTGAATATTGTCGGTTTTCAACCCAAAAGGAAAGGTTTTTTACTTCTCAAACATTATTATATCTCATGGACATTTCTCAAACAATATTATATTTTTTAACATCAGACGCTATACTGTTTGAACACTTGCAAAAACATTGAATAATAATAATTTCAACGACTGAAATAATTTTGGCAATGAATGGTGTTGTACGATTAAAAAAAATAATGTACGACTGGGTGCCATAACTGGAGATATTTGAATCAATTATTAACAGTTTTATCATCAATTATTGCTTATTGCGCTAATAATTTATTAGTAATTATTAACCTCTCCATTATCATGGGGCTGAGAATCAGGCCTGTCCGTTTCGTCACTTTTACTTGCGATTTCGGTGAATTCTAAAGTCGCTGCAAAGAAAATTAATTTCTATCAAAACAAACGGGAATTAATACATTGAAAATATGAGATACTTCAAATAAATGAACCAAATTAAGAACACCACTCAAAATTGAAATTTCACCACTTTGTAAGAATAGGAAAGAGTACGAAATAAGTGATTAAACAATTTTTTATTTTAAATTTAGAGTGAACCCCTACTTTTAGAAGGCCCGATGCTTTTAGCAAGATGGCTGGTCCAAGCCACGTTCAGTCGTGCAGATTTTTCGTAATCATCATTGCTAATTGAACTTCCTATAATTATCTTTTCGGAATCCCGACTTGTCCCAGGGTCTTTGGTATTCACTCCGTCATCGGTTGATTCATTCTTTGCTTGAACCTGCAATATGTTTTCCGTGCTGCTCTTTGTCTGCTGAATGTTTTCGCTGGTCGGATGACTTACGCTGGGCTCAGTAGAACGGTTAAAGCCGGAGAAATTTACTGACGCAGGAGTCGGTTGATCGATCGTTTGGCGGGGCACGACGTCGATCAATTCACCGTCCACGATTAGCACAGCATGCTGTTTAATCGGAACATGTATCATAGACGGTACATTTATTTTAATTGTAAATAAACATTAAATGCATATTTAACGATACAAAGCAATACATTTCACTGTTATTCTCATAAAGACAGATCTCAAATAATGAACAGATTAGAACTGCAAAAGCCACTTGCAGATAACCATTAATTAGATATATATGAATAATTGTTGTGATATGCTCTGCATGACCGGTTGACGCTCATTATTGAATAGTTAATTCATAATTTGAACCTTGATGGACATTTTACATGGCCCAAGCCTCTTTAATTGTTTGCGTGATACAGCTATAGACGAAGTAAGAATTAGGGACAAAAAGTAATGAGTTACCCTGAGGACTAAAATTAAGGACATGTCATCATCGCAGCTTACTACATGAAATTATGTATAATGGACGGTTTGGTCACAGGTGAAAAATTGAAGCATTTCAAAATTGAGGTGGGTTCACACGTAAAACACATTATAAACAGTTTTTACGTGAAATGTAAGAAAAAGTTCGCAAAAAAGGATTAAAATTGATAAATACGTTTAAATACAATCGGAAGATTGTGTACAGTCACTACAAGGAGCAAAGTTGAATAATTTGAAAATTGAAATGTTTTTCTCTTTTTAGATGTAAAAGACGTTGCCTGCTTTAATTTGATAATATGACATAAAGTTTGTTTTGAATGTTATCTCCAATGCACATAATGAAATAAAACGAAGTATAGAAAAAATAACTCACCTCGTTTCTCATGTTAACGATATAGATTTCTCGACAGGATGGAGACAAAAATCAAATTAATTAATTAAAAAATCAAATTAATCCGCGACAGGGCGGAGAAAAAATTCAATTAATCAATTTAAACAAGCAAAAAAAATCATCAAAATAAATCAAAACAAATCTCTGACCGGCCCGAGCGGGTGACAGGTGGAGATGATTACTCAAAATAAATCAAAACAAATCTCTGACCGGTCCGAGCGGGTGGCAGGTGGGGATGATTACTCAAAATAAATCAAAACAAATCCCTGACCGGCCCGAGCGGGTGGCAGGTGGAGATGGTTACTCAAAATAAATCAAAACAAATCTCTGACCGGTCCGAGCGGGTGGCAGGTGGAGATGGTTACTCAAAATAAATCAAAACAAATCTCTGACCGGCCCGAGCGGGTGGCAGGTGGAGATGGAGCCTATCCTGACGCGCCGCAGGTACAGGCTGTAGTGGCACGCCTCGCGTACGTACAGCGGCGTCGGTGCTGCGTCAGGCGACCGGTACAGCAGCGCCCCCGGGGCCACGATGCCGCGTGAGTCATGCATGTCCAGCTCCAGCGTGCTGATAAGATAATCGTTATCATGTCCAGTACCAGCGTGCTGATTGGTTATCATGTCCAGCTCCAGCGTGCTGATAAGATAATCTTATCATATCCAGTACCAGCGTGCTGATAAGATAATGGTTATCATGTCCAGCAGCAGCGTGCTGATAAGATAATGGTTATCATGTCCAGCTTCAGCGTGCTGATAAGATAATATTTATCATGTCTAGCCAGAGTGCACTTGCAAAGATAAAGGTATTGTGGCTATAAATAAAACTCATGACTTCCAATATTCATATATTCATATAAATAGAAGTGATTCAATTCACTTTATAAACCCTAGGGTGATAATTTGTAAATCATAAAGTAAATGTAATGTAATTATCGTAAACTGATGACTTACCACCCTCGCATGGATATGGTGATGGAGTTCTCCCTGGGGCTGTGCAGCACAAGATGGACGGATTCCCAGCCCTGATGGGACAAAAAATTACTTTTTGAAAATGAACGGTAAATGCGAGGGCAGTTATTACAGAGTACAATTAGAATTGGGAATAAATTTGAAATAGAATTTGAAATAAATTTGAATTGGAAATAAATAAATAAATTGAAAATAAATTTGTTAGCTCCACTGTCATCACTGGAGCTAACATCAGAGAATTCGATGGCAGGTGAGGATTGCATGCGTTATTAAAATCGAGAAAGAAAGCGAAGTTTCATTCCACATTTCTAAGATATCTACGATAATTAAATAACTTAAGATGTCTGTAAATAAAGATTCATTGGCCTATTTTCTAGCAGCTCGCCATCACTAACTGATGGTCAGGATGGTTCATCGTCGCTGCCTCGTGAATTTCAATTGACTTTGAAACCAATCTCGTAGAAGAAAGCCAAAAAGAAAGAAATTTAACGAGCAAAAGTTCCACATTGAAATGATTGAAATTTACTGCATATATTTATTTTAACATTTAAAATATAAGCAAAACTAGAGGATTTAACGGCGACGTGCGTATTTTTTTATATCTTCCTGATGGTCGAGATGGCTCGTCGTTGCTGCCTCGTAAATTTCAATAGACTTAGTAACAAATCTCGTAAATGAAATTTAATGAGCAAAAATTCTCTATTGAAACGATGATTAAAATTGAATGCATATATCTATTTGAACATATGCATAAAATATAAGCAAATCTATAAGATTTAACTGCGACGTGTTTATTTTTTCGCTCCATCTACCTGATGGTCAGGATGGCTCGTCGTCGCTGCCTCGTTGAGATCTTCGTGCACAGCTGACAGAAATTCTTTGGCTTTTTCCTGCGCGGATTTTGAGCTCGGTAGCCGCAACGCCAAGTCGCTGTTACCTCGGATCCAAAATTTTGATTTGGCATGAGTCTCTCTCGCGGTTTCATTTTGAGCCACATTTCGTCCATCAATAAAACTTGGCTCAATTTTTTGTGAAATCTCTTTGTCTTCCTGTGGATTCCGATTGCTTTCTCGTAAAACCCCGAGGCTTTCTTGTAAAACCCCGAGGCTTTCTCTAGAAAATTGGTTCCTTTCTCCCAAATTTCTCGACAACTCGTGAGAATTTTGTTCGAATGGTTCTTTTGCATTCACGTGACCGATGTTGCGTGAAGAAGAATGCTGATCATTGTCGGCAGCTGATTGCCGAATGGACATCAAGAACAGCAAGTATATCAGCAACATTCTTTCCTACAGTTGAAAAATCACAACTTGTAGAAACTGGAGCAAAAATATAATTTGATGTTAATCTTTTGATCATTTAATGTAGGAATCAAATATACTGTTGAAAAACTGTCAGACTTTTTGATGTAGATCGCCAACACCGATTAAACTCTGTCTAATTACTTTATTGAATGACAATGGGTTGCAGCAATTGAATGAATGGGAACAATTGGATTGGTCTTCACAGCCTAATTCAAACATCTAAACAAGCGCAAATGACGCAAAACGAAAAGCTCCATCTCAAAGTGACAGTACCAGTAACATAAAATTTTCTATGTTCAATTAAACTTGAAAGAAATACTAAACTTTTCTTTGTCTACCACAAAATAAACTTGATGCGCCAGATCAACTGAATTACCTTCTACAAATTTTCGTTATTCACATCGGATGAAAAAACAGCCAATCGATTTCTAATCAGCTACTTTTTAAAATTATGATTCAAAACAGTGACGTCATCGTTCCAACCTAAACGAATATTTTCCTCCTACGTTTTTTTCCATATGACGTCAGAGCGACCACGCGCTGCCCAGGTGTTCTTTGACGTCATGTTGATGTTAACGTTGCGCTGCTTTAACGTCGCCTTGTCCTGACTGTTTGCGATTATAACTCCCGTACGCTTTAAAAAATTCTAATGTAACAACTGATACTTACAACTGATACTTACGACACCTGGTACTTACGGCAATTGATACTTGCGGCAACTGATAAATGTTACTTTTCATTATTTACATAAAATGTGTAAGAATCAGTTGGGTGCCTCAGAAAACGCCTGATAGAGTTTTCAATTTTTCGATGCGCTGGCTCAATTTATCAAGTAAACATTCATTGCTTACAAGGTTAAATTAGTTAAAATGTGGATAACAACCATTATGTTCAAGGCAAGTTGTTTTGCTTGGATTAGAATCTTATTCTAATCCAACCAAATGCCCGTCATTTGGTTGCAAGATTTTCACTATTTAAAAATTTAAATCGGTTTACATGATGTATCAGAATATAGTCGATAATATTTTAATGAGTTACAATGCTGTATAACTAAAGGTAGAAATAGTGAATTAAATTTATACTGTCATATACACAGAGGTGGGCAGTAGCGCGCTACCGCGGCCGCTACATTTTCAGTAGCGATAGCGGTAGCGGCTCTACATTTAAGGCAATGTAGCGGTAGCGGTAGCACCCGCTATATGTTTAAGTAGCGATACGAGGTTTTGCCGCTACAGCGCTACCGCTACATTTACAGATAAAGCCTTTAGATTTTACTTAAGGGGACCGGCTACCCTCCAACAAATCTTTTTTGTTTACAGACGGATCGTTTTGAAACTTGGTACACATATGTAAAACAGAAATCTAAGACCTTTTTGCTCATGTAAATTTAAAAAATGAAGGAAAACGTGGAATTATTAGAAAACGGCAAATAAGGGGTACTCTAAAAAAGTTTATAACTTTTGCAAATCAAATGCTACAATGTCGAGACACATATCATTCGATTTGTAACAACAATATCTAGCGACTGTAGAGCCCCGATTTTTTATTTTCCTCATCGTTTTTTTGGCGTTCTTTCCATTTTTTCACATTTTTACCCCCTGCCCCACCTTCCTCCCCCTCCCATATATAAGTCAAACCATGCACATATAAAAAAAAGCATCTAGAGTCGCTAGGTATTGTTTTTACAAATCGAATGGTATGTCTCTCCTTGCCATAGCTTAAAAACTGTTGGAGTTATACTTTTTTTAGGATGGCGTTTTTTGAATTTTTAAATTGTTCAGGGGAGCCAAATAAAGTAAAATTCATTGAAAACAGAAGAATATGCCCAAAAAGTCTTTATGTTTTAAAAATGTTTTATTATCATTAAATGTTAATGAGTAAATCCCAATATCAGAACAATAAATATTTAGAGATTTCCAATAATTTTGGCCATTGTAGCGGCTAATGTAGCGCGCTACATTTTACTGTAGCGGTACCGGTAGCGCCCGTTACAATCTAGTGGGTGTAGCGGTAGCGCCCGCTACATTTAGAGCATGCATGTAGCGGTAGCGATAGCGCCGCTACATTTCCAAGTAGCGCTGCCCCGCTCTGCATGATATACATAGTCCTAATGTCATCCGCTTAAAATACTCGTCCATGTCAAACATTCTGAATTTAATTCGCTGTCGCTTTTACGTTGTTTTAGACGTTCAATCCATAGATTTAATTTTTCGAATTCTTTTATCTAGAACATATACTCCCGATACATAACATAAACAAGTCTTAAAATCTCACATAAGACCTACAGTAGCGCAGTAATGACCACCCTACACCACACACAAGCCTCGACATCATAATGACTCCTGAAGACGTGTTATGGCGCCCGCATCCCCGCTTGCACCTGCCTCTGCGCAGGTGCAAGCGTTATCTGCGTTATTGCACCTGCGTTATCTGTCACACATTTAGCGCAGGTCCATAACCTCGCACGAAGACGGTTGGATCATCTATATAACAAAATATACACGTAAAAACGTAAGAGATGAGTGCGTGTCCGTATTATCAAGCCCCTATGCTAAGATGGCATTGATCGCAATCGTCCCACAACTTGATATAGCCGAGCCAGGAAAAAAATTCTTGTCATTGAGAGTTCTTAGATATTTATAAAATATCCATATGAAAAATATCCTCTCAGGGCTCGTGAAGATATTACAGGCATACAGTATATCAGTAGGTACCTCCGACTAATTTTGGTGTGATTCAGTAAAGGCATTTTTAAAAAACTTTTTCGTCCCTTTTCTAGATTTTTCTCTCCCGAATTCTACATTTTAACGGAAACAATTTACCTCAAATTCCTCGTCGTTTGATTGCATGACGGATTCATTCACATATTGCGAATTATAAATTAGGTATAAACATTTCTCAGGAAACTTGTTCAATCCATTAACGACATGCATATCATTATCAGATTCTTTTTCGATTTATTATCATTGAATTATATTCATAATTCAAAGAAAATCACTCTCAGGATATCTGCAATTCCAGGCTGGGATTTCTGTAGGCAATGCCTGGTATAACAACTTCTGAGAAGGTGACTGCAGCAAGTCTGGGTTTGACGTCGGTTTCGTAGGAGATGAGCAGAAACTTGTGCATTACCTAAAATTTACGGTCAGTTAAAATTCTCTGATGCCGATGAAGCCAACTATTCGGCACAATGATATGCGGATGGCTCGTTTGAAAATCACAAGCCGATCGCTGTTGAATCTTTAAATCAAGCATTAATTACAAACTTTACAGGAAAACTTTAAAATCATCTTAGAACAATTAAATGTGATTATATAAATGCAAAACTTGATTAATGTGCTGAATAAAAGGACAAAAAATCGCGGCGCATTCCATTTATCCACTAATCGCCATGGGAAGCAAACTGAGCGGGTGATCTAAAAAAATAATCGAAATTTTTAGTTAATATGAAGCTTTTATTCCACATCACAAGGACAGAGAAAAAATAGCTCAGACTGGTAGATAAACTTATTAAATACGTCATTTTTATTTGTATGTATTTTAATAGTGCTGTTCCAGTGATGATATAACTTCTTGTCATTGCCGGTAACTCATTTGACATCGTCGTGAGATATGAATAAACATTTAGTGCATCCGCAATAAATTAGGATTACTAGCGCCGCTTTTAAACGACTCTCAAACTCGCGTAAAAGAGGCAATATCGTTTACCTTTAGCAAGACATTTGCATCGTTGTAGACGGTGTTGTCTCTGTCCTCTAGCAACACTTGCATCGTTGTAGACGGTGTTGTCTCTGTCCTCTAGCAACACTTGCATCGTTGTAGACGGTATTGTCTCCGTCCTCTAGCAACACTTGCATCGTTGTAGACGGTGTTGTCTCCGTCCCTCGACAAAGATCGATGTCGGAGAGAAAAGTGTGGTATTTTTAAATCGTTCATCATACGTATGTTAAATCAATATTATGTTGATCTAATCTAATCGACCACAATTTCCCATTTGAAACTCGTTAAAAAAAAAGATTCTGATTACGAGTACGTATATCGGAATTTTAAATCAGTTCTTCATTAAAACACGGATTCTTGAATAATAAAGATTACGTTTGAATCCATTTATTGCGTATGATCTCAACGAGAAAAGAGTTGATCTAAAACTACGGGTGCATATCATTCATCGCTAGAAGAATCCCAACAGGAAAAATTTGTATTGTTAAATACATAATTAATGAAGTTTCATAATAATTTTATGTAATAATGAATTGTATTCATACATTACATCCATTGACTCAATGGTGTTGAATTAATGGAACATTCATTTAAAACATGTTTTAAATCATCCGAACTAAACATAATCACATGAATCATTGATTGAACTAAATTCTAAGCACACAGAGTGCAGATAAATTTTGTGTTTTTAGAATTGCAGCTAGAAATTCTTTCTGGCTAAAAAAACATTTGTAAACTAATCTTACTTCTAGCAGTTAACATAGATAAAAATGCGATAGTTAGCATGCTTTTCATGTTAATTGTCGCAGCTGTTGGACTACTCAGTCGTACATAGATTACCCTTGCAATTTTTAACACAACATGGGTTCTCTTTTAGCAGTTTGCCCTCTAGCAAAGATTTATTTTTCCATCAATAAGAAGCAAGTTTACGAATACATAAACTCACATTTAATTATAGATGGACGAGATAAGTGCACTTAGAATTTGGGAACGATTTTGTCTTCTCGTCATTGCAATATTTCTGGTAAAGTGGAAGCTTTTCAAGCTATTATCTGATTTAAAAATAAGCTAAGGGTGAAATTGGCTCTTCCAATAAATCTTCATCATTTGATTTATCACTACCAGCACTGGCGGTATTAATTTCATACCAATCTTTACTTTCTAAATCCCTCTAGTCTATCCCTCTAGTCACTAGAGGGATCTTTTCGCAAATTCTAATTCTGGAACAAAAAATGTTGATTGGAACGATATTTTGTAAAAGTAGCTTGTGTTTTAGATAGTTGTTTGTCTTTGTTAGCAATAGCTCAATCGATTATTTTTCATTAAAGCGGAAGTGTGATAGGATGAATGTACAACATATATAGCAGCATGTCCTAATTGATTGGTTTAATGATTGCCTCAATATTTTTTTTTCGTAAAGAACGAGACTAAATTTAAATTAAATAATACAAGGAAAACATAATTTTGAGTTATGCAATGTTAATGACCGAATTGAAACATGAATGCGATCACTGGCATTAAATTTTGTTCAAAATTTTATAAACTCCAAAAAAATATGCTTCAAGTCTAGACGGCAAAATTGTTAATATATTTTTTATACGCCATCTCGCACGGTCATCGGACGTGACTATATCATAACAACAAAAATTAGCTCATTGTAGTTTTAACTTTTCAAATCAGAGTTCGGGTTAAGTAATTACATGCTTTGAAATACACGAAGAAGAGGTTATCAAGCGCCTGGTAGCTCTAAATCCCAACAAGTCATGTGGACCAGACGGCTTCCATCCCAGATTGCTCAAAGAATTAGCATCCGTTCTGGCAGGCCCATTGACAGTATTCTTTCAAAAAAACTTAAACGAAGGAACTTTGCCGTCCGACTGGAAAGAAGCTCAAGTAACACCATTGTTCAAAAAAGGTGACAAAAGTAGCCCCGGCAACTATCGCCCTGTCAGTCTGACAAGAGTTGTTTGTAAGCTAATGGAATCTGTTGTGAGGGATAGGATTATCGATCACTTGACTGCTCACCATCTCATTTCAGATTGTCAACATGGTTTTATTACCGGCAGATCCTGCACCACTAACTTATTATCTACGTTGAACGATTGGACTCGCCTGCTGGACGAAAGGGAGCCAGTGGACGCAGTGTACCTCGATTTTGCCAAAGCATTTGATAGTGTTCCGCATGAGCGGCGGTTGCGTAAAGTGAAGTCTTTGGGAATTGAGGGATACGTACTCCAATGGATCAGAGATTTTCTAGTAGGTAGACGACAACGTGTCAGTATTAACGGAACCGTGTCAGACTGGGCATCAGTGCGCAGTGGCGTGCCACAAGGAAGCGTTCTTGGGCCTATTTTGTTCGTTGCTTTTATAAACGATCTGCCAGAAGCAGTGTCCAGCGAGTGCTCCATGTATGCCGACGACAGTGCTCCATGTATAATATAGTGAAAGATGCGTCAAACAACGCGCAATTGCAAGATTATCTTGATAGTTTAGTTAACTGGGCTGAAACGTGACAGCTGCGGTTGAATGCTGACAAGTGTAAAGTATACTTCACCTCGGGAAGAACAATGAACAGCAAGATTACAGTATGAGAAGACATGGTTGCAACGAGAGAGTAATGATTGAAAAGTCTAGTGTGGAAAAAAATCTCGGAGTTCATGTCGACAAGGAGCTGAAATTTTCTAAGCATGTTGAAACACAAGCTAACACATCCAACAAACTTCTTGGACTAATCAGACGCTCAAACGAGTTTCTAGATGCAGAAGCGATGAAGCAGTTGTTTGTTGCTGCCGTGCGCTCGAATCTAGAGTTTGGAATCGTTGTGTGGTCACCGAGATTTGAAAATGACAGAAATTTATTAGAGAATGTTCAAAGACGTGCAACAAGGATAATTCCAGGCTTGAAGGGCAAGTCCTATGAAGCAAGATTGAAGATTATGAAGCTTCCAAGCCTCTGTTATCGACGTCTACGTGGGGACCTCATTGAAGTATACAAGTATACTCATGGTTAATACAAGGTCTCCGAAGGATTGCTAGAATTTGAAACAAGAACCAACACCAGGGGCCACGGCTATAAACTAAAAAAACTGCGCTGCAACTTCTTCACGCGCCAACATTTCTTCTCGCTTCGAATCACTGACAAAGATATCCTCCTCATAGGCGTCGTGTATAGATCACCAAACAGTTCTTCTGAAAACGATAAAGTACTAAACAGTCTTTTACCGAGCATGACTTTCCGTAGGTCACACACGTTGATCGTTTGTGATTTTAATCATCCAGAGCTAGACTGGATAGATGGATCCTCTTCAAGGGAAGAGAATCACCCAACATCCTTGTTCATGGAGTCAGTAAGAGACTCCTTCCTAGTCCAGCACGTTACCAAACCAACCCATTATAGTTGGGGCTTTCTGCCCTGGAGTGGGACTTTCTGCCCTGGAGTGGGGCTTTCTGCCCGGGAGTGGAGCTATCAGCCCTGGTGTGGGGCTATCTGGACAGGACTGGAGTGGGGCTATCTGCCCTGGAGTGGGGCTGTCTGCCCTGGAGTGGGGCTCTCTGCCCTGGAGTGGTGCTCTCCGCCCCGGTATGGTCTCCACTTTGGTGGCCCCGTCCTGTAGCACTTAAGCAATTGAGAACTGTTGAGTTTTTTTTCAAGAAACCGATTTTTGTACCTGAAAACAAAATTCAGTCAAATTCCTTAAAACTGTTCTGACATGGGGCCGCATTGAACCAGTCTTCAGAGGCTCCCATAAATTCCAATTAAAGAAAAAAGAAGTAACATGGAGGGACAGATGAAAAGCAACAGAAACGAAGACACCCGAACAATTAAGAGGTCGCTTACACGGGACGTCGGCCGCTTGCACGAGAGAGAAAGAGAGAAGAGAAATGTAAGGAATCCTACCTACATAATAACTTAACCCCACAACTGAGACCTGCAGTCAGACACTGCATGCGAGCTCAGCGGAGGGGCGCTCAGGAACATTCCCACTGGGAGCGCAAAATCCCATAAGACTTCTGACGAGCACAGACACGCGTCAGAAGTCCCCCTTGAGGGGAAGTTCAGGTAAAAGAATTTCTAAGATCTAGTAATTCATGGTACTTTAGATGGGAGCGCAGCCGTAGGCCGCAAATTTTACTCATAAATAAGCCCTTGAGCCAACACCCAGCTTTATCGTGCATTAACTTTACTCAGCCTCAGAGCTAGAAGCCGCAGCATACTCTTGAACTCCGTAATCCAGACTAGCGACACACTGCCGAAAGACAAGAGCGCCGTAGGTATTCAGCCAATGCTTAAGCTTGCTTGCTCATAAGCAGGCAGTTCCTCGTCCGGCTCCACCTATTCCAGCCTAACCTTTTCTGGCCTAACCTATTCACGCTGTCTCGGCTCACAACTTTCTTGCAGCCAATGACTAGCTCTACCAGCATATTTGGACCGCCTTTCTAACTTCTTGCAGCGAATGAGGTTAGGTTAGGTCCGCTTAGGTTTGTTTTGGGTGGAGAAATGTTGCAACTTGTGTAGGTTAGTCCTCGATAGGTTTGGCCAGATGCAGTATGGCCATGCTTACCTTTAGCAAGCGGCCGCACTTATTGTGCGGCTGTGGACATCCGGCGCTTTGGCTTTGATCACTTGACTTCATAGGATGGGATGCCCTCTAGCGTTCCTACCTACGGAAATAAATATGAACCAGGTGTGAAGAGTGGCAAAGCTGGCCGCCGGCATACGCCTCCCTATTTCTTCAGTGCCCACACTTCCATATTATTCTAGATGGAAACCGAATTTTTCAGTAAATTTACAGTCAATAATATTGAATATCATTCCAATCCAACTACGGCCGAAACATGTCAGTAACAATTTTCCCCGTTTGAAATTGTTATGTCTCTCCTCCAATAAAATAACATTTCAGGTCCCGATTAAGGTCTCGGACAAGCTGTAAATTTGTCCGAGACCTGCAATGGCTATAACCCAATGCTATTGGTTTTGTGGACACTATCATATTGGTTCTATTAATGTAAGACATCTGTTATCAAGCACAAAAACCTACATAAATATGGAATAGGTAGTTAGAAGTACTTATTCAATTGTCTATTGTGTCCTGAAATTGGGATGCATCCCCGTATATGTGCAGGTGCTATGTGCATAACAGGTACCGGATCGACACTTCAGCGGACTTGGCTGCGAACTGGCCTGCGGGCTCGAATGCAAAACCTAACTTCATTTTCACTTAACCAGCCATAAATCCATCAATAATGGGCGGATTTTATTTAAATTTGGAATATAAGTAGATAATATCTGTAATTTCTGGACGGAATTTTTTCAGATTTATACATCAATAACTTTTTTTAATACGGAAAACCTTACTTCACGTTCACCTCGCAGGTTAGGTCCTAGTCAGGTCAAGTTTTAGTATTTTGTGGCATTAAAAAAAGTAATTAATGTAAAAATCTGAAATACATCCGTCCACATTTTATTGATAATATCTACTTATATTTCAAATTTGAATAAAATCCGTCCAATATTGATGGATTTATGGCTGGTTAAGTTAAAAATAAATTTAGGTTTTCCGTATTATAATAAAAGCGGTTTCAGCGTTTATTAGGCCGTAGGCCTGTCGCCGATTCTTAACATCGCAGAACATTCACAGCATTTTGAGGTCGAACTCGCAACGCACTGCCACAATTCTGCTGTGCATAACCGCCCGGCCTAGGTCGCGGACAAATTTACGGCCGGACCCGCGGCCGGTCTCGCGGCCGGAAAGGTTTTCTTATTGTTTTTATGGGTTTTCTAGTTTTTTTGTGTTTTTAATGGAACCTGTTCCTAACTGGACCTAACCTGCGAGGTTTTCGTTGATTAGCTAGGTTTTTTTCTATGCTTGGGAGTCCTGCGGCCGCGAGACCGGCCGCGGGTCCGGCCGTAAATTTGTCCGAGACGTCCAGAAACTGTCGCACAAAGCTGGGATCGAACCCGCGCCTCTCTAGTGCGTCAATCTTGCATGGTACTCTGAACTTTAACCACTGAGCCACCCTGCCCAGTAGTTAAATGTTATTGATATAAAAGTTATTAAGTTAATGATATAAAAATCTTAGAAAATTCCGTCCACAAATTACAGATATTATCTACTTTTATTTCAAATTTGAATAAAATCCGTCCATTATTGATGAATTTATGGCTGGTTACGTGAAAATGAAGTTAGGTTTTGCATTCGAGTCAGCAGGCCAGATCGCACGCGAGTACGCTGAAATGTCGGACAGGTATAACAGGTTTGAAATAACCGAACCTTGCAGAAGTCAAATAAAAGGCGAAATGAATCTGTGGACAGCGCTGATTGGTTAACCTCCCATAGCTACCTGCCGGCACTTGTGTCAAACTACAGTGTAAACAGTAAGCTGGAACTTTTCGCTACAGTTGGATTGCTTGGATGTTTAGTGACTTGAGGTGATTTTCGTAATTCTGAGCTTTCGTTGACGATATTTTGAATTATTTATGGGTATGGGATATTCATTGGAAATTTTAGGTTGATAAGCATTTGAAGAATTTTCACAAATCAAGAATGAATTTCTTGTTGGCATTGTGAATTGATCTGATGATGATCTGAAGTTCTGAACAACAATATTAATAAAGACAGCATTCTAAGATTTATTAATCTTGTTTTGTAAAATATAGTTATATTTGTCATTGAAAAAATAGCAAGAATAATATTTTGAGATCGTTCACTACTCAACATTCAACAAGAGTGGCTGTCATGACAATTTGAGGTGGCTCAGCTGTTCTGTTTAATTATTACCATAAAATGGGCCTTAATGGGGTAACTTTGACCACTTTTTTATTTAAAATGATGCCATTTTTTTACTAGATAAGTTAAACTTAAATTGAAACATGCAAAATACAGGTCTATACTCTAGGTCTAGGTCTCTAGCTTTACTCACCATGCCATAAATTGCTGGCTCCTGCCTCTCATAGTTTTGATGTAATTTCAAAAAAAGTGATGGTCTTTGTTACCTAGTCTGGAAAAGTCCTATTTTTGTCTGAAATATCGCGGCTCTAATATCATATACGTAATTTCAGTAGGTATGAAATCTCGCGGCTCGAATGTCATAAATTTTTGTTTGATTAAATAATCGCGGTTTGCACTTCGCAAACATGTCATTTCATAAAATTTTCAACTTCCGCAATCCGCATTGCTTTACCGTTTCCGCCAAAAATATCTTGCAGAT